TGGTTACAGCGTTGTAACGCGCGTTACAGCGTTGTACAGCACGTTTAGTCTGAACGCTGACTAAGCGCGGAAGAAGAAGAGGAATATTACGGCGCAGTAACGTAATCCTGTAGAGCCACGAAAATTCCTATTTTGAGCCATTTTCCCATCTTTTCAGAAGGCGCCTGAAATGATTGTGAGCCAAGGGTCGAGGATCCTTGATTAGGTGCAGGGAGGGGAGGAGTTTCCTGGGGTGGGTGGGCGAATATCGATGGCAAAAAGTAGGTTTCGCATTTTTTAGAGGAAAATCACCGACAGAGGAGTCTTTGGCCGAGTTCACAAGGAGAGCCTATCATAGCCATGCGTGAAATAGGGATGCCGGTATAACTCATCCCTTCCCCTAAGAGGCTTTTGGTAAGGCTTCTTACAAAACTCGCCGTTGCGACTCCAACACATTCTAGTCCTACCCAACCAATAATGCCGAGGTGAAGGGGCAGGGAGGGGGTTCTACAACGCACTAGGAACAGCAGAGATTTATCAAAAATCCCTAAAGGCACGCATGGTTCCTCGCTCAGTAACGAATACAGCCCCCTGGTGGGAGAGAACCCGACGATGGTGCAGAGTATTTACAGGACTTTGTGTTAAATAAACAAAAAAAGAACCAAACTATGAACCGTAACCTGCTACGTTAGGTCACATATCCTGAGTTGAAGCTGACGCTCCATGTTCATTTGATGTTCACTTGCCTTCTTCTTGATGTAATAATCCTTTCCGCCAGCATGGAAAATGTACTAGTTCCGCAGCACAAAAACAGGTGAAGAAAGCGCGACCCGCCCACGTCGGTGCCACGACTCCGCCCAGTAGGCACTGCAGCGCCCAACTTTGATCTCTAAAAGCTTCCTGGTGATGCGGTTGCTCTGCTACTAGTTCTCTTCATTTCGAATTGTGTGTGCGAGCAGGCAAGAGAAAGGAACTGATACTAACAAGTGAGAACTCGTCCGACCACGCCCATTGTTCGTCCTATGCACGTACAAACGTGATTCAACATGTGTTCTCTATGGGTATTTCAGAAGTGTTTCCTCCGCTTTTTTCCTCGCTTACCATTTCCACTAATATTTGAGCAAC